TATTTTTTGAGACAGAGTCTCACTCTGTTGCTGGGGCTAGAGTGTCATGGCATCAGCCTAGCCCACAGCAACCTCAAACTCCTGGGCTCAAGCGATCCTCCTGCCTCAGCCTCCCCAGTAGCTGGGACTGCAGGCATGCGCCACCATGCCCGGCTAATTTTTTATATAATTTTTTTTAGTTGTCTTGCTAATTTCTTTCTATTTTTTTTTTTTAGTAGAGACAGGGTCTGGCTCTTGCTCAGGCTGGTCTTGAACTCCTGAGCTCAAGCGATCTGACCACCTCTGCCTCCCAGAGTGCTAGGATTACAGGCGAGAACCACCACACCCGGCCTGCCTGTGACGTTTTGATTGATTTGTTGCCTTAACAGTCTCTTGCTTAGTCTGTCCAACTAAAATGAACATTCGGTAACCTAGATGGCACAGCCATTTCAAGGAAGTCATCATCTCTCTGCATAATCAGTCTTACAATAAGTACCTTGCAGACAGTAGACAAGGAATAAACCCTCCTGAAATTGCGCCAACCTGATTTGTCGTATGGTAGTTGGTTAAAGACACATGCGAGAACAGAGTGGAAGGAAATGTAAAATGCAGGCTCTTTCTTGCAAGACGCACATGGGAAATCAAATCTGAGAGACTGCTGCGACTGGCACCTTGCTGTCAACCTTTATTTGTTTTCAGTGCCAAATGGAACTGCTGGTCACGCTCTGGAATCAGACGAAATGCAAAGGCAGAAACCAACATTCAATTTGATTACCGTGTTTCCCCGAAAATAAGACAGGGTCTTATATTTATTTTTCCTCCAGAAGACACCCTGGGGCTTATTTTCAGGGGATGTGGTTTTTTTCCCCTCAAAGCCTCAGCTTGCAGCACGCACAGGATGGCCGGGACCTGACCGGGGGAGCCAACCTTGTGGGTGGGGCTGCCCGCACCTTTTCGGTCACCTCTGGGATAGTAGCTGTCAGGATGGGGCAGATGAGAAGGGCTGCTCGTGTTCTTTCCCGCTCCGCAACAACACACATGGGTTGTGCAGATGCGCTGCGCAGCCACGCCCGTCACTAGGGCTGATCTTCATAGCCACGCCCATCACTAGGGCTGATCTTCATAGCCACGCCCATCACTAGGGCTGATTTTCATAGCCACGCCCATCACCAGGGCTGATTTTCATAGCCACGCCCATCACTAGGGCTGATTTTCTGGGTAGGGCTTCTATTGCACACATACTTAGAAATCCTACTAGGTCTTATTTTCGGGGAAACACAGTATGTTGCTAGAAAACATAATCTAGCTATATAACTTATTACCTTTGGAAAATACAAGAATGCCTAGAAAATAATCATAACATCAACCACAAGTAGTTCTAAAAAAGGGACGTGGCTACAAAATAGAACAAGAAAATCCTGAATCTGGAAGAATTCATTCATGTACATAAAGCATCAAAATAACTTTCCTCTGTTGCCATAGCAATATGATTTAGTTTTACCTACTGTTCAGTCAAATAAATATTTATTTACCGCATCTTTCAATCAAGGTTAGATTTTTAACTGATGCTCTTATTTTAAAAGTGACACATGCTCATTGAAAAAGAGAATTCAAAAGTGTGTACAATAAAAAGAAAATTTCCTTCCTTATCCTCCCTCATTTCCCTCAACCATCCTACTCCTAAGTCTAACTACTATTATTAATAGTTTATTTTATCTCCTTCCGGGCCTTTTATCTGCTCACTCAAACTATATGTATATGTTTGTGTGTGGCTCTTGTTTTGAATAACATTGGAATTTTACTTTGTACTGTTTCTGCAACTTTACTTTTTCCTTCATGTTCAATCAGTTTACATGTTGATCTACCCCATTCTCTTTTTTTTTTTTTTTTTTTTTTGAGACAGAGTCTCTATTGCCTCGGCTAGAGTGTCGTGGCGTCAGCCTAGCTCACAGGCAACCTCAAACTCCTGGGCTCAAGCGATCCTCCTGCCTCAGCCTCCCGAGTAGCTGGGACTACAGGCATGCACCACCATGCCTGGCTAATTATATATATATATATATATATTTTTTTTTTTAGTTGTCCAGGTAATTTCTGTTTTTTTGGTAGAGATGGGGTCTCGCTCTTGCTCAGGCTGATCTCAAACTCCTGAGTTCAAACGATCTGCCCACCTCAGTCTCTCAGAGTGCTAGGATTACAGGCGTGAGCCACCACGCCCGGCTGTACCCCATTGTCTTTTGAGACTACATATTATTTCATAGCACTACTATAACATACTGTAACAATTCTCAGTCGACGAACTATTAATGTTGCCTCTAGCTTTTCACCATGACGACCAATGCTGCAGTAAATATCACCAGTTTAGATTTTAATTTACTTTTTAATTTTAACAGGACTATGGAAGCTGAAGTCGTTGCAGAGTTTGGATCTGTCATTCAATGGGATATTGCAAATCGGGTTGTCTGATTTTCACAAGTGCCTGCAACTGGAGAACCTCTATTTAAAGAGCAACAAGATATTCAGAATTCACCCAGAAGCCTTCAGGGATGTCAAAAAATTACAGGTTCTAAAATCATTTTTGTAAGATTTCAATACGCTGACATGTGGGCAGTGACATTCGGAGAATATTTCCATTGAAGAATTTCTTCATGTCCAGTTGTACTGGCTGTTAATCAAAAAAGATAACATCATATTTTAACATCCCCCAAAAGAGCTGAAGTCACTTTCTTGCCTTAAAAATCTTGCCTCAGAAGCCATAGCCACGAACACGAATTTTACTGGGACATACTAGCAGCAAGAATTGGCACATTGTTTTTCAAAATCAAGTTAAATCCAACCAAGTTCCCACTTACCAGTTGGCAAGAAATTAAATCTTAGCTAAGGCTGCCACCCTAAGCTGCCAGATCTGTCAAAGGTCTCGGGGGTTTTATGGGATCTGGAATGCTCGGGGAGGTCTCTGAGCCACCCCAGTGGATGCTGAGATGTCACCAACCCAGGACTAGATGGGCCTCTGAAGGCAATGACCCTGTTGCTTCCATGACAACACTGGGTGCAAAATAATAAAAATGATACTGACAATAGTTCACACCTGTATAGCACTTACCACACACCACGTGGTTCTAAACATCAGACCCATATTTAGGAGGATCTGTGTCACTTTTGGGCACAGCAGGCACGTGGCGGTGAGTCTCCTTGAGGCCCTGGCACGGCGAAGGCAGGGAACCCCTAAAGCCCTGCTCCAGGTTTTTTTTTGTTTGTTTTTTGAGACAGAGTCTCACTTTGTTGCCCAGGCTAGAGTGAGTGCCGTGGCGTCAGCCTAGCTCACAGCAACCTCAAACTCCTGGGCTCAAGCGATCCTCCTGCCTCAGCCTCCCAAGTAGCTGGGACTACAGGCATGCACCACCATGCCCGGCTAATTTTTTCTATATATTTTTAGTTGGCCAATTAATTTCTTTCTATTTTTAGTAGAGATGGGGGGTCTCGCTCTTGCTCAGGCTGGTCTCAAACTCCTGACCTCCAGCGATCCTCCCTCCTCGGCCTCCCAGAGTGCTAGGATTGCAGGCGTGAGCCACCACGCCCGACAGGCCCCTGCTCTAGGTTTAGCAGCTCCAGCCCCTTCTCCTCCAAGCCCTTTCCCCCATGCCCTGCCCTTTTGTGAATCTATCCTAAAACCTCCCCTCACTGGGCCTTCAGCAACCCCGGAGTGGCCTCCCGTGTGACATCCAGAGGTGGTTTGGGGACAGTCTTGTCCTGCGTCTCCACCACCCCCGTCACACACCCCAGTCTCCCTTTAAAGTCCAGTACCGGTCAACGGCAGCACAATGCGAGCCACGGATGCAATTTTAAATGTTCTAGTAACTAAAATTAAAAAGTAAACATGAGGTACATTTCCTCTTAGTGATATGTATTATTTAACCCAGTATTCTCAGATATTATCTTTTATGCATGTCATCAACATAAAAAATTATTAATAAGGTATTTAAAAATCCCTTCTCATACTAAGTCTTCAAAACCCAGAGTGTATTTTACACTTAGCGCACGTTCCCGTTTGGACTACCCACATTTTGATTGCTGCGTAGCCGTGTGTGGCTCTCGGCTGTCGTGTTTTTAGGCAGCATCCACACAGACGACAGAGGTTCCCCCGGGTTCTGTAAAGCACTGTTCCGCATGGCTGCAATGCAGGTCTCCAGCTGCCCCTGTCCTTCCAGAACAGTCCCGGGGTCCCTCCTTTACAGAGGGGCGTCTGGTGGTCTGGGGAGGCTGCGGTGACAGCCAGCTGCCTGCCCTTAAGCCTGGCCTCGGCCACCTTCCAGCCACCCCATCTCTGGCAAGTGATCAAACCTCTCTCTGCCTTGGTTTTCCCACCTGAAAAAAAAAAATGGAGATAACTCAGTTCCTTCTCCATAGCATTTGTGAGAATAAGTGTTTCATAACATGCATGCAGAAAGTTTTGAATACACAACTCTTACAGACTAAATCTATAAATTTTTATTATTTATTATTTTTTAGACAGAGCCACTTTGTTCCCGCAGGCTAGAGTGAGTGCCGTGCGTCAGCCTAGCTCACAGCAACCTCAATCCTCCTGGGCTGCCAACGATCGCTCCTGCCTCAGCCTCCCGGACTGGACTACACATGTGCCACCAATGCCCCGAGCTATTTCTAATATACTAGTTGGCCATTAATTCTTTCTATATGTAGAGAACGTGCTCACTCTGGCTCAGGCTGGTTTTCGAACATCGACCTTGAGCATCCGCCCGCCTCGGCTCCCCAGAGTGCTAGAATACAGCGGAGCCCACCAATCAGCCGGTCATAATAAAATTGTTTAAAGTGGCCACAGTACCTGATTCTTTTAACATACAGATCTGTTTGTGCCCCTTCTTAGTTAAAACCCTCGTGAGACTTCACCCTGGGCCCGGCCCCCATCTGCCTCCCCGCCGACCTCCGGCCACCCTGGCCCCTGCCTCCCTACTTACTGACCTTGCCTGGAAGAGCCACCAGGTGTTAATCCTGTCGGTTTCTGCCTGAATATCACTTCCTCAAGGAGGCCTTCCCTGGG